AAATGATCTTCCGGAATTTCATCGCCCACAAATTGCTGAATCACATCAAAAGCAATATCGTTATGGCTTAGATTTTCGATTACATTAAAAAATGCAGGATTTAAGGGTGTAATGGTTTGAGGAAAATATAATCCTTTATCACTCGCCAATCCTTGTATCACAGCTTCTTTGAAAGAAACTTCCGGGGCATTATGGTTTAAACTATAGTATTTCATTGGTTGTTTTGCTTTAGGCTTTAAGCTTTAGGCTTTAGGCTTTTTTCCTAATGCGTATAAGCTTATTGCTTTTTTATTTTTTATTGATTTTATATTTTCATAAAGGTTTTAAGCCTATTGCCTACAGCGTTCAAAGAACACGTACGCCGTCTGGATTAATTTTCGAAACGTGAATTTCATACGGCAAATTCATATTTTCGTAAACGTCGCTCATGGCTTTGGCAATTTGGTCGGCGGTATTTTTTCCTCTGCTTAAAGCATAAATCGACGGACCAGAACCTGAAATTCCGGAACCTAAGGCGCCGTTTTCAAGAGCCGTTTGTTTGATAAGGTCGAAACCAGGAATCAATACACTTCTTAGAGGCTCTACGATTTCGTCATGAAGAGATCTTCCAATCAAGTCGTAATCTTTGGTATACAAACCTGCGATTAATCCGCCTACATTTCCCCATTGCATGATCGCGCTTTTTAGGGAAACGGTTTGTTTTAATACCGAGCGTGCGTCAGATGTTTTTAACTCAATTTGAGGGTGAACCACCGTTGCGAACAATTCCTCAGGACTATCAATTCTGATAATATCAAGCGGAGCATAACTTCTTACCAAAGTAAAACCTCCCAAAAGGGCAGGAGCAACGTTGTCAGCATGCGCGTTTCCGCTGGCTAATTTCTCGCCCTGCATGGCAAATTGCACCAAATCTTTGCGGGAATATGGTTTTCCTAATAATTCATTAATTCCAAAAACTGCTCCGGCAGAACTTGCAGCGCTGCTACCAATTCCGCTTCCGGCTTTGATGTGTTTATAGATTTCGATTTCGAAACCAAAATTTATCGGTTCAAAATCTCTTTCGTAAGCTTCAAGCATCGCAATTGCCGCAACACCCGAAACATTTTTCTCGGTTTCCAAAGGTAAATCGGCACCGACAATTTTAGTAATACGAACTCCTTTTTGTTCTACTTTACGAACAATCATTTCATCACCCGCATTGTCTAAGCAAAGTCCAAGTACGTCAAATCCGCACGAAAGATTCGCTATGGTAGCCGGGCAAAATAGTTTTATTTCCATTTTCTTAAAGGTTCAGAGCGGCAAAGGTTCAAAGGAACAAAGGCTTTGCGGCTCGTAATTTTTATATTTAGGTTTAAAGGTTCAGAGAGGCAAAGCGACAAAGTGAAAACCTTTGAACCTTTGTGCCTTTGTACCTTATTAATTATTTCCTATTCGAATAACGTCTGCAAAAATTCCTGATGCAGTAACCGCTGCTCCCGCTCCAGCGCCTTTGATCAATAAAGGCTGATCTACGTAACGATCTGTGTAGAACAATACGATATTGTCTTTTCCTTCTAAATTATAGAAAGGATGATCTTTCGGGATGAATTGTAATCCTACGCTTGCTTTTCCGTTTTCGAATTGTGCTACGTATTTCAATCTTGAATCTTTGGCTAAAGCCTCTTCGTAGATTTTTTCGAAATGAGCAGCGTGTTTGGTTAACGAAGCAAAAAAGTCTTCGTTGTTTGTTGTTGCTAAACATTCGGCAGGCAGGAACGATTCGTTGGCGATGGCATCAATATCCATTTCGTAACCGCTTTCGCGAATTAAGATTAAGATTTTACGCGCAACGTCGATTCCGCTTAAGTCGATTTTTGGGTCCGGTTCTGTGAATCCCTGAACTCCGGCTTCTTTTACTACATCGTGAAAAGAATTGTTCTTATCAAAATTATTGAAAATGAAGTTTAAACTTCCTGATAAAACCGCTTGGATTTTGTGCACTTTATCACCTGATGCAATTAAGTTTTTTACGGTGTCAATAATGGGTAATCCCGCGCCAACATTGGTTTCAAACAAAAATGGAGCGTTATACTGACGTGATAAACTTTTCAGTTTTTTATAATTGTCGTAAGCAGATGAACAGGCAATTTTATTACAAGTTACAACGGCAATACTTTGTTTTAAGAATTTTTCGTAAGTTTCAGAAACGCTTGCATTTGCTGTAATATCCACAAAAATACTGTTGCGTAAATTGAGCTCTTTGGCACGTGCGATAAATTCTGTCGGAATAGCATGTTCGCCTTTGTCTAAAGCCGATTGCCAGTCTTTTAGAGAAATTCCGTCCTCATCAAAAAGCATTTTTCTGGAGTTCGATAAAGCAATTACGCGAACATTTATTTTTAAATTTTCTTTTAAAAAACTTTCTTTGATTGTGAATTTGTTCAATGAATTTTTCACCCACATTTCCAACTCCCATTACAAATAAATTCAGCTGTTTGGTGTTTTCTTCAAAGAAGTTTTCGTGCAATGTATTCAATGCTTTTTTAACGTCTCTTTCGTTAATTACAGTCGAAATATTACGCTCAGAAGCACCTTGCGCAATAGCACGGATATTTACGTTGTTTTTGCCCAAAGTACTAAACATTCTTCCGCTTAAACCCTGGTGATTCTTCATGTTTTCTCCCACCAAAGCAATAATGCAAAGGTCTTTTTCTACAATAGCAGGATCAATTTTATTTTGTAAAATCTCAACTTCAAAAGCTTTGTTGATGGCAGCTTCGGCATTATCAGCATCCGAATTTAAAATTCCGATACAAATAGAATGTTCAGAAGAAGCCTGAGTGATAAAAATAACATTGATTTTTTCCTGAGACAATACTTCGAATAAACGTTTTGATGAACCCGAAACTCCAATCATTCCAGGACCTTCCAAAGTTACTAACGAAATATGATCGATATGACTGATTCCTTTTACAACCGTATCTTTTGATGAAGCCTGATTCGAAATTAAAGTTCCTACAGCTTCCGGCTCAAAAGTATTTTTGATTAAAATGGGAATGTTTTTTCTTAAAACAGGCTGAATCGTTGGCGGATATAATACTTTGGCACCAAAATGCGATAATTCCATCGCTTCCTGATACGAAATGTTTGCAATGGGTTGTGCTTGTTTTACAATTTTAGGGTTGGCAGTAAACATTCCGTTTACATCAGTCCAGATTTCCAATTGTGATGCGTTAAGCGCTCCGGCAATTATAGCAGCAGTATAATCAGAACCGCCACGGCCCAAAGTTGTAGTGATTCCGTCATGGGTCTGAGCAATAAACCCCGGTAAAATATTGATTTGTGATTGATTTTCGCCAAAATATTCCTGAATCAATTGGTTAGAAACTTCAAAGTTTACCACCGCTTTACTAAAGTTATTGTTGGTTTTAATAAGTTCGCGACTGTCTTTATACACTACATCCTTATCAATTTGCTGATACGCCTGCGCGATGATGTAGGACGAAAGCAATTCTCCAAAACTTAAAATAGTATCAGCAGTCCTTGGAGACAGTTCGCCCAATAAAAAACAACCGTCTAATAAAGTTTCTAAGTGATTGATGATTCTTTTTACATGGCTTAACAAGCTGCTTTGCTCGCTTACCGGAATAAGATCTTTTAATGTATCAAGGTGTTTTTTCTCGATTTCAGCAACAATCTCTCTAAAGCTTTCGTCGTTTGCCGCTGCTTTTGCTGCCGCCAACTGCAATAAATCGGTTACTTTGCTTAAAGCTGAAACAACAACTACTAGTTTATCTTGTTTAGAATTCTGGTTTATAATTTCGAGAACGAGTTTTATATTTTGAGCATTGGCAACCGAAGTTCCGCCAAATTTTAATACTTTCATTTTGATATTTTTTAATAATGTGCAAAGATTTTGAGTAACAAAGGTTCAAAGGTTATCAACGGTGAACTGAAACTGAAAACTGCGACTATTTTTTTTCTTTGTAAATGTTTTTTATGTATCCATCGTCTTTCTTCTTTCAAGAAAAAAGTATAGATAACCCAGGTTTATATGTGAAAATGTATACCCCTAAGGGGTAGTAGTTGTTGTAGTAGAAATTGTAGTAGCAGCAATTGCAACTCTGGATTGAGTTGTCATTGTAGATTGATATTTTGCGCTGTTACTTTTCATTTTGATTTTTCAAAAGTACAGTTTTTTATAAAAGTTAAAAAACTGAAAATCCTTTTTGCGAATATTTCAATAATTCAAATGTAAGCATTTTAATATTGAGTAATTGTTAAAATTAAAACTCTAAAATGTTGCTTATTCATATATTTAATGCTTTTTCTAAGAAGGTTTTAAAGTCTTTAGGGTATTGATTTTATTAGAAAGCAGATAAAAAACAAACGATTTTAGCCTATATAGTAAGTAGGAAATGTTTTTTATGTCTTTTAAGATGAAATCTGCGATTGAAATTTTTATCAATAAAGAACTGATTTTTGTCTGATAGGATTATGAAATAAA